CTCTGATAACCTCTGGCTGAGTTCTGAGGTCATCAGCTTATGCTCATAAGAGAGTTGAAGGTTTCAATTCTAAGATGGTTTCTTAGAACCAAAATAAGATGTAATGTGAGCCATCGATGTGCCTCTAGCTTGTATCGATAGCTTGACTGCTGCACAGTTTTGCAAAATCAACAAAATGCCATTGCTCGTAGAATAAATCCCTGGATGTGTATCAGTTATTTGTCTGGACCAGAATGTAGAAGTATCTTGTGAAATAAATGCTTTTTTGTAGTTTTGTTTCAGGAAAGCTTAATACAGAAAGAAAACAGGGGTATCCGTATTGGTTAGATCTGTTAAGTTTTTATCAACATAGCAGCTGTTTCTCCTATAAAAAACACTAAAGAAAAGTAACATTAGTCAAAATATAGAACAGACATTGAAGCACTGCAGTGATCTCAGAGGGCAGTCACTCCTCACTGCCTCTTCAACTCTATCAGGCACCCACCTGCAAGCAAAACTCCCACTCACTGTCCAGGAGTGAACCTGAAAATTAAACGGCCAGGGGGTTACATATTACATGTTACTTGTTAGACGCTTTTATCCAAAGCGACTTACACACTCAATACTGTGGGCAATCCCCACAGGAGCAATTTGGGGTGAAGTGTCTTGCCCAGGGACACAACGACATGCTGACTGCAGTGGGGTTAGAACCTGTGCTGCCCTGATCCGAACACCAACGCACTAGTCCACTGCGCCACACGCCGCCATATACATATGCAGCATAAAGAAAAGTATTTACCTTTTAACGGGCCACAAAGAATTCACTTCAGTTATGAAAGTAATATAAAGCATCTCCGACACAATTCATCAAGCTGGAGTAAAGTAATCAACAGTTTGAATGGATCACAGCAGATCTGTAATTGTCAGGTTGATGGTATTTTAGGCATCTAGGGACTTAATTACTGTACATGTGCTGTACAGCAGCATTTAAGCATTGCTACTGGAATGGCCCTCCTATGGATCAAGACAGTCCGTCGCTCCACACATGTACTTCTTATTAGACTGTTTTCCATTAAGCTTTATTCATGGTTCCCAGAGGATGAATCATACTGCCTTGTTGATCCTCAGACTTTTCCTCTAGTGCCCCCATCACTCATTGTTTTCAATTAATTCCACATTTACTGTATCATTCATGGTTCCCAGATCATGGATCCTCCATCATATCGTATCGTTTTCTTCACAAACCCACGAGGTTGATGTTCGTTATTTTGAGTCTTTACAGCAGCAGCCTCTGTTCTAATCCGTGGCACTTTCTTTGCATGATGTGCCCTCTCTCGTTCTCCATTTTTCCAGTCTGTACTCTCCATGAAAAGGCACACAAAAGCTATATACATATATATATATAAGGCCATATTTAATTTGTTAACCTTATGAAGACGGACAAATTGATATAAGGGCTAATTTATAAAGACATGCTACAAGTTGAGCCTATTTCAGCTCGGGACTATATTAAAGCATTTCACTTGTGCCTTGCTGAAATGATCCTTTCATTAAAGCCATGTTTCATCTTCTGTCCTCAGCCAGTACTTTGAACCTCTTTTGAAGTCAATATCCTTGTTAAAACATGGAAGCAACTTTTTATTGCTCTACATTTTTTCCAAACCTACCACACCATTCACTAAGAATTAGATTTGTCTCACAGTGCTCAGATGCAGAGGAATAAAACAAAGGCTTTCATTTATCTTTGGTATGGCGTTACCCCTGCGCTATAATGTCAGTAAGTGCTTACATTACATAAATCCATTACTTAGTGCCTGTGCTGTGGCATTTTATGGAGGAGAGAGGTTAGCCACACTGCAGTTATCATAACAGCATCTCGTGATCTGAACTCTGTGTGATCAGATTGGTTTTAATAGACTCTGGATTACTTGGAGGCAGTTCCTCAAAGCTAAACATCTCTGGGCCTAGAATTAGAGTGCACATCTGAGGTGAAAACGATTTGTTCAGGAGAATGTCACTGCTGCAATGAAAGAGCTTATATGCTATTATCATACACTACCTTAAAGAGATGACAGGGCAGCGAGATCCTTTGATACATTTTCCACTTCTTCTTCAGTATTGAAGGAGATGACATTAAATCTGAGTCGTCTAAGCAGGCTGTGTATTATGTCTAATAGTCTTTTTGCGTTTGTGCCGCAGTAATCATATTTTATTCACAATAGCCACAAGCTTTTTTTATCTTCAGTTAAACTAGTCCCTAACAAATCTCTCTCGGATGCTTTTCAATTAGCTCACAGGAGCCTTTCAGTACAGTTAAAAAAAAATGACGTGGTTATGGGTAAAATGCTGTCTGTAGTGGTGTGAAGGTAGCGATTTTCTATGGCTTTGGTCTATTGATCAATACACTCTTGCTTGTGTACAGAAATGTGCACTCCTGTGACCCCTTATCAAAGGTAGCTCCCTCACAAGTCCTGCATTCAACATTTTACACAAGAAAAAAATGGAAAAGTGTAAGCAACTACATGTACTCCTTACTACTTAAACTACTATTAAGCAAAATGGATCCTGTTAGTGTTATGTTAATGGTGCACTTTTCTTTTTCACAAATGAACATCTACATAGTGCTTTAATTGTGAAGTTGATCAATGTGGGGCTAATTTGAACTTCCTTATATAGATTCCTGGGTTTTAAAATCCATACAGGCTGAACATGTTTGCATAATAAAAACATTTCCTAAAGCTGTCCAACATGTAGTGAAGAAAATATTACAATATTTCACTCAGATATTTACTGGTCTTTAAGTATAAAATACTCAAAGAAAATATTACATTTTTGGAGCTGTTTGCGGCTCACATGGTAGAACAATGAAAAGAAAATCTGCTTGGCCAAAAAAAAAGAGACCAAAATCATCCTGTAAATGTGATGATTGTGTAGTGAATTAGCATTTGCTTCATATAATTATTGCATTAAATTGTGCCAGCAGTAAATCCGAATTTCCCCTAGTCTAATAAGGTTGATTTAATGCACAGATAGCCATTCATAAGACTGCAGAGCCACAGGAAACATTGAGGGTAGAGTGAAAACCCAGAGTGTGTGTGCTGCTGGTTGGTGTGTGGCTACAGGCTGAATGCGGCTGCAGCGTCGCTGTCCACGGTCCTGACCCTCCAGCCGGAGCCAGAGGTCTGCTGCAGACTGCAGCTTCCTATGAAAGAGTATCGACTTTGTGTAATAGGAAGTGTGACCACGGAGGGCACCCAGCAACAGATGCGAAACTGAAAAAAATGCTTTGGGGGTTGAAATGTCATGTGAACAGTTGGGTTCAACCACTGAACACCTCAGGGGTGTTATCGACTCCCTTCAATGCTTTTAAAGGCCAAGGGTTCGTTTAGACTGGGCTTTGCGGTTATTCGCCCTCATAGTGTTAGCGACCACAATTTACAGCGACCACAAGACAGGGAGTACATTTGTGGAAGTAAATGAAAGAGGTGGACTGCTAGGGAGAGTTGTTCAATTTAACTGCTAACATGTAGGCCATGTAGTCTGGCCCAGATCTGATGCGGACACAGAGGCAAGTCTCACAGGGAAATACGTTTACCAGACTAGGTTGTTCTAGTATTTATCTTTAAAACGAAGTAGGCCTAATTAATTCACTAGTGCTTACTTCAAAGAGAATCTGGCACACTCAAGAGAATACCTTATTATCTGCTCAGGTGCACGTGCTTTTGCGTTGAATCGTTGAATCATTAGAGGGTTGCTTTTGTCCTTTCCTTTTGTCTCACTTTGTTACATTTGGTACATTTACATTAGCTTCTCTTAGCTATTACATGTCATTGAATCGCACGGATTAACATGTCAAGTCTAAGAGCAAGTAGTTCCTGTAAAGCATTACCATATTTTTGTACTGCTTTTGCTGCGTTTTTTTTTATAAAGTCCCTAAGTTTCTTTAATGTTGATCTTGAACTAGTTGATGAATTAATACTTAAATTGCATATATATTTATATGTATAGCACTTTGCTATTCCTGCATGTCCATCTCTGTAATTACCCTTTATATCAATATTTCATCTGTTCATTTTTCTGCCACAACTATAGGCCTCAATATCTCTCAAAAAACATAATGCTTATTTTTTATATCTTGTAATGAATTATATTAGGTTTGTATTACCCTTTCGAAGTTTCAGCATGTTTAAACCTTGTATAGGACAAATGTGTTGCAAATATGCTGTTGTTTTCCAAACTGGTATCCAAAACAAAAATATATGTGACCTGTATATATCATATCCTTCAAATATATCCTGGTACATTATAATAAAATGATACAATTGTCTTTTAATTTCCCTCCTTGAACCTTAAACATATTTATTTCAGAAATACCCTTTCTTAATTCTATAACTTTAATAATTTAGAGTGCCTATGATTACGGTACATATTTCACCTTTCTCCTTACATTACCTTCATGTTAAACCCCCTAAACCGGTGTTTGAATGCCTTCTTACCTCCAAAATCTTCAATTGCCCAGCTTTGAAGATCAAGTCAGTTAACTGTTCACTTTTCTACCGTGTATTACCTCTCTTTGCATGAGAGCGAACTAAATTGGCGAATCATAGAGTTATCTCGAATGCGTGATGGCTATCTCGAATGCGTGATACCGTGTGAGGTAAAGGGTGATGCCAAGAGAAACAACACTGTCGCTAGCTTAATGTTTGTTTCATTTAACTGATGCATCGTTTCTGGGGACAGAGATGCCATCAGTACACCGTTTTACCACCGAAACACTGGTCGCCACTTGTTGCAACGTCAGATTCCATCTCTCCGGTCTGGGAGGAGGGAGGATTAGAGGAGGGGGGACTCCGTCACATCCTCGGTCCAAGTATGGGCATGAAGTTTACACGCAGCGGGGAATCCTCTCACTGGAGCTGATGAATGGGGAGGAGGGCCGAGGGAGCTGCCAAAGTGTATATAAGGAGAGAGAGGGGAAGTCGCTGATGTGAAATCCACAGCAAGCAAATACCAAGCGAGGAGCAGAGACGAAAAGGAATACCTTTTAATTGCTTTTGACACCTTTTGACACAGACCACTTTGGATCATTTGTTGAAAACCATCAAAAGGGGAGTTGAAAGAAAACAGTCATCTGCATAATTTATTTTACATTTTCTCCTTTTACCTTTTTCCCTGGGAGAGACGGACTTCTAAGAGCAGCATCAGTATGTTGAACAATATGGATTTGAATGCGAAAGACTCTTTTTACCCTCAGTTTGACAATTGCAACAGTTCTTCCATGGGAATGGACAACAGCGTGCGGAAAGATAACCAGGAGGTTTATGTCGATGCAGAGCGGGGGGTACCTGCCCAGTTTGGCCACGGTGAGTCCGCATCTTTGCACAGTCGATTAACATTTGCATGCAAGATCATTTAAATGTGTTGAATATATGAGAACCAGAGGAGATAGAGAACTCTTCCCGTACAGTCGTGTAGGCTATATTAAGGCATCTTATCAAAGCATTCCTGTGCCAAAACAGCATGAATGTTTATGTAACGCTGATTTTTCATCCTCGTTTAATATGCACTGATTCTCAATTATAAATCACTCGCGATGACAAAGTTTTCTCTCTTGTTAATTCAACAGAAGGAACCCCAGCTACCCTCAAAACCGAAGCCTCCAACTCGGAATTTGCTTTTAACCCTTGCGAGTGCCCAAAAGACTCCTACACCCCCTCTTCGCTCGCCTACTCCGGCAGTTTCTATGTTGAGGCATCTCAGGGAGCGCCGTGCAGCACCGAAACACTTCTCAATATGATCACTGAGATCGTGGGTATATCCACACTGCCACTTTTAGACGTGCAACAGAGCATCAACAGTCGGGGAACTTATCCATCGCCTGCGCCGATGGACAGCAGCAATGGACATTTTGGAGACCCCGGCGTCAAGAGGCAGTCCTACACCTGCTCCGGACCTTCTCCTCCCGTTTACTCTCCTGACCAGACGTGCCCGAGTTACGCTGATGATCAGAACCAGAAGAAAGACGAACCAAAGTCAGAGGCCGCTTCCTTCCCTGTCGTGGTTAAGAATGAGTTTGAAAGCAGCTGCTACGAGTGGGGAACATTTACCAAAGCTGGCTGTTTGGAGACGAGTTTCCAAACAGAAACCTTCCCAATGTCAAGCGATTTCCCCCCTGAGCAGCAGATGGATGTCAAGGAACTTTTAGACACATTTCCCCCAATATGTCCCAACCCAGAGATGGAATTTAAAGTGGAGGGAGGTATCAAACAGGAGCCGTGTTTCTCTGACACCTGTTCTCAGAGCTACTCCAGCCCCATGTACAATAATTACCTCCCTCCCCCTCCGATGGGCCTCTCCTCTAACCTCAAACCCTTCCCCGAACCCCCACAGCCATCTAACCAGTGTGATTCCTTATACACGTCTCCAGCTTTACCAAGCACCATAGACTCCATCCTTTACTCTTCCTTGTTGCCAGATTCATTCGCCCAAAGTTACACCACCCGTCCTACAAAGCCCACCCGGGCCCGGAAGAGCCCCGCCGCCGCTCACGGCCCCGCCAAAGAGAAACCCTTCACCTGCCCCATGGAGAGCTGCGACCGGCGCTTCTCTCGCTCCGACGAGCTCAACCGGCACATCCGCATCCACACGGGCCACAAACCCTTCCAGTGCCGCATCTGTTTGCGCAGTTTCAGCCGTAGCGATCACCTCACCACCCACACCAGGACTCACACCGGGGAGAAGCCGTTTTCCTGCGACACGTGCGGGAAACGGTTCGCCCGGAGCGACGAGAGGAAACGGCACGGACGCGTACACCTGAAACAGAAGGAGAAAATGGAAATAAAGCCACAGGTGACCACCAGCGCGTGGACTTTCACTCTTCCAGAGGGAATTTGAAGACAAAGCTGTGTGTCCAAACATAGCCTACACGACATTAGGAATCTTTCCGTCTTGGAAGATAAAGCCAGCTGACTACAAGTTAACGTCCAAGTTGGTTTGACTGGCAATGCCTGGCACGAGGTTTCGCAAATATTGCAATTTTTTTGAGGAGCAGAAAGGAAAGGAGAGGTCTGCTTCGGCCTTAGTGCCTGCTGCTGATGCTGCTGACTTAATGCAAAGATGCACAAGTTGAAAAAGTCGATAAACAGATCATAAGTGACTTGTTGCTGTTACTGTCAGTAGAGCCAAACCTCTCTGCTGCGGCATTGCATGACTGCTGTTCAGCACCTCTTCTCCTGGACAGCTCCGACCTCCATCGCCTCTGAACCTGTATGGATTGCACTTACAGATTATTAATATCTCCATTTAAGATTCTTATTTTTTGCTTTTAGCATTCTTAGAGCAATGGTTTGGACTATGTTTCTTGAAATGCATGTTTATGTCAGTGTTTCTTTTCCTTTAAGCGGAATATCAACCACTGTCAAGGTACTCCTTCACTCCACAGTGAAGGTTATTGACATGAATGTAGGCTAACATATTTATGGCTTTGACCATAAAGCTGTCCATCTTTGATCAAATGTAGTGTTTGTTTGAATTCTTATCATTTGGCTGTCAGTGTTTTTTGTCATTGGTCTTTGTGTAGTGTTACAATTAATTGGATTATTACAATTGTGAAAGATATATCATAAATGGGAAATAAATATATTTGTATAACTGTACTTCTTTGTATTTTTATAGCTAATTGTATATTTTACATTTATCACATTTGAGTGTCATTTATCAAGGTGAAATGTATTCTAAATCATTAATAATGTCTTGGTTTTTGAGGGCTATTGTTTAGTAATACAATATTTTAAATGTTACAATTTGATATCAGAAACATTTTCGCACTTCATCCCATTGTTGGTATGATAAGAGTTATTTAATTAAACTGCTGGTTTAGTTTTAAAAAGGACCAGTATGTACACTAGTTGTGGTACAGCTTTTCAACAAAAAGGATTTTACAGTATGTACAGAAGTATGTTTAATCAAGCTAGAAATGACTAGCAAAATATAAAATACTGCTTTTGAGTAATCAGGTAGCACACATTGCTGCGAGTTTCTGTGGATTTTACCTTGGACTTTACCATGAAAGGGTTTTGACTCCTGGTATCTTTTGCTGGAGATACTGAATGCTGAAATGTACACTTTAGCAAAAAAAAAATAACAAAAAAATGTTGAAAGTTTGGTGAAATTATCACCAACAGGGTACGGTACTGCAAAAAAGTAATTTAACTTGCCTTAAGTTATATTAACTGTTCAAGTAAAGATTTTGTACATAGACAGTTTCTACAATACTTTAAATGAATATTGATGTTGTTATTTTTATGAAAAGTTTATGAACAAAATAAACAATTTCTGGAAGCATCACGTTTCTTGTGTGTGGTTTTAAATGATCCAAATGATATCTCTTGCTCACCTTGCCCACTCTGTGTCAGACCCCTGTTGGAGCATTCAGATGAGTGTATCTTTTCCCAAAATATAAATGATAACAGTCCACGTGTGGCACCAGGCTGTAGCCCTTCCATGAGACGTCACGGTTCTAGCCTGTGACTCAAAAGGCTTTTGACTAAAACACATTAAAGAAAAAAAAACCTATTACTCAGTGCTGGGATTCTGAATCCCCTCGACTTCAAAGATCACTTTCCTCATGTTCTAAATGTGGAGATGAACACCATGGGCGCTGTGGTAATCTCAACAGGAAAAGTCTTAAGTTAAACAGGACATTTTCTTCCCATGTCAATGAGATGATCTGATGCTCTCAGTTCATTCATTCCTTTGTTCATTCACTCACCATTTCTGCAATAAAAGGATATTAATTTCCACTCAATTGCTGAATGCGATTACGGTCTATTATCATGTAATTTATTTCTCTCAAAGAATGGCAGTACTAAAGTATGCTCTTGCCAAAGCTGCATGTGCATTCTTGTAAATGCTGTTAACAGTCTTCTTGAAAACCTCTCTGCTATAATAAAAAGTGGCGCAAGCCATTGCTTCTTTTTATGAAAATTGATATGATCCTATAATGAACGGATCCAAATTGCGCTGAATTTTCAAGTAAAGTGGTACAATTCCCAACACTTTGAGCATAGTAGTAATGTCTAAGATAAGCATATGTGTCTTTTAGAGTTTGGGGAGAAGACGGTTGTGCTGATCCTTTAAATAGGATTCAAAGATTCTTTGTGCTCTGTGCTTCTCTATAGGAGGCCAAGATCTTACATCTGTCATTGCAAGCCATGCAGGCATGTATTAGCAGGGACTCCGCGGTGTACGTATGACATGCATGTGCCCGTGACGCAGACGGCTTGCCGAACACTACGGTGCTTGCCCACGGCGGTGCATAAGTGTCTGCCTTGTCTGAAGCTGACAAACATACTGTACCAGTGTGAAAATGCAAGCCGCCACATGGAGCCCTGTGAATAGTATGTACCCATCCTCTGCTGTCCATCACTCATCATCACTTACAATAGCACAGGGCCTATCTCGCATCAACGCACACTACTTTATCTGTGTTGTTTTAGTGGCAAACACTGTCCAGTGATGGATTGTTGAGGTTTTGAATTGCATTGATGTGCAGTCACAGTGACCATTATCCAGACACTTGAAGACTGAAGAGTTATTGAACTCTGGCCAGTGATGGAATTTCTGCATTTGTGCATTTGGAAGCTCAAATTCACATTTGCATACTGTAAATGGTCCTTGAATTATCTACAGCATGTGCGTACGCTTTCGGCTGCGTTGTCTTTATCGAATACGTTTAGCATGTCATAAACCTTCCTAACTCCCTCTCTGATACAGACTAAAGACATAAATCAGTTATTTTCCACTGACTGACATTTATGTCTTTTTACTCCTGTAGATAAGCGTAATTGCTGAAGCCATTAAGTGATTGTGCTGGGAGGGCACATGACCGCCACTGAGAACCATGATTTCTCAGAACGCGGACCTCTGCTGTGAATAGTGGCACATCAAGTCCATTAAATCCCGCCAGGATGTTACTAATGCAAACATGTTAACATTAGGACTGTTGCACTGGGGGAGGTTTATCCAAGGCTAGTGTCTGCTTGTGACTAATATATTCCATATGTAAGCAGGAAGAAAACCATGAACAGATGTGATTTCACTTCTTCATTGTCTCATCCAATTAATCGCTTAATGCAGGATTGCTTTTGGATAAATCAATGGGACTATTTATCTGCTGTACCAAATGAGTACTTTGGCTCAGGATTAAATTTAAAAAAAATCCCTAAAAATGACAGTGAAGGATTAGATGGTCCCGAATTCTGAGGATAAGTGTCATTGCAGAATTATACATACTTACATGTTCAATACTTGTAAGCTTTCTATTTTTTAAAATCTTTTTTCTGCTTAATCTATTATTTTTTTATTTCATAATACACAAATACTGATCTATGTTCTATAGGCTGATAACTGAAGCGCACCCTCAACAGTCTCAAGGCAATCCACATCTGTGCTGCCATTACATATCTGAAGTCTGTCTTCTTAAGAGGGACAAGTGCGGCCCCAGTCGTCGTGAAGAGCCCAACATCCCTTTTATCCATGCTTGAACTCCAAACAATCCTCGCTCTACAACAATAATCCAATAATGAATTTCGGAATGTATGAAAAAGGGTTTATTTGCTTGTATGAAGGATCGGAGGCAGTTTCAGTGGTTCAAGCTTCAGGTATCAGGTCACCTCAAGTACCTATTAATAATCACAGTCCTACTTGAGACGGTCCATATGGCCCCACAGTCTCATTCACTCGTGGATTGATCTATTGTGGGATAATCACCACATAATTTTATGCGCACCTTTAAAATGTGGACCAGGGCACGTCATGGTCCTTGGGGTGGGCTCAGTAATCAAGGTGCATAATCGCATGGCGGTAATGGCAATCAGGCTTAGCAGATTAATTCCTTGGATCATACATCAGGCCGTCGGTCCTGTATCTGATCATGAAGAAGGGTGTAGGTGGTCTGGAGAGTGCGGGTGATTAAAAAGAAGAGAACCATTGCGGCGAGAAGGAGCTCGTTATGCAAACATTTTAAAGTGCCTAATTTCTTCCATTGTACTGGCTCCAAAATTCTTCATTTGTTTAACTGATCAGGCAAAGCATAAAACTGAGGAAATAACTTTTCTTGCTCCTTGAACTTGATGTCAACCCAAGTGTCAAGGAGTTCAGTCTACCACGTTTGTCCTGGTTATGGCATCTCTATGGTTACTAACACTTGCAGTATATGCTGTATCTTAAGTGAATGGGAAGCAGTCAGCATACCCCTGAAAGCTGAATGTTTTCACAGCAAATGCCCTTGGAAAATTCCAGGTTTGAGCGCACACAATAATGCAGCATGTATACCGTGGTAGCTTCCAGTAATTGGGACAGTCAATAGAAATAATTATGTCAGTCCATACAAACCATTTATTTGTAACCTGTTGTCTGACAGCCTTCTGGGTTGGATGCTTGTTGCCTCAAGTTAGTATAGCAACAGTGCACTCTGGTAGCTTATATCATAACTTAAATAATAGTATTTTTAACTGAAATCACTGCTTCTAGTGACAAACCTGCAGAGAATCATTCCCTGATACTGTAGTTCAACTCAGTTCTGTGAAGCATTTGAGCATCTTTCAGATCATTGTTTTGGTTTTACAACTGCAACTTGTTGCTTCACTCTTAAAGCTCTCACTGCGTAGTCTTTGGGCGCACCAGGAAGCTGTTTTAGGCAAAACAAGCTCTAAAAGCTGATTGTACTCTGCTCAGCAACAAACAGCAGGTCGACAAAACTGGCAACTAGCTGGAGAACATCTCAAAGCATTTAGCAGATAATAAGCTAGATATTCCCCTAAAGAGCTGGTCGAGACCAAAACCAGAGTTTAAATACATTATTGGAATACTTATAATTATCAGGTTACCAGAAAGGCAACTCAAAATGTATCCGAATGTTGCTTTTTTTATTTTCTGGATGTGTAAATAACCAACAATATAATGAGTTTACCATATCAACTTTATATGGTGATATGTGTTCACGTTTGTTTCCGGCATCGCCAAAAATACAGCTCTTGAGAGAAATGATTATTATTTATTTAGGTTTAAACGAAAAATGTAATCACATGTTTACCATCCAGACAACCTGCCCCTGTTCGTACTAAAACACGGACCTGATTAGCTTTTCCCCATTTCCTTCCATAATGATTTTCTTTTTATTCAAGGGTCATACACCAAAAGGTGCCCAGCACACATGTGCTTGTAAAACCTTCGGAGGCAAGAGAAATCAAAGAGAAATCAAGCGAATACAGACACATTAGTTCAGAAATAAATGTAACAAATTAAATATACAATGCTGAGCGTATATACGTGTGGTATACCACATTTATCTGGTACATAAAACAGATAGAAGTGAATGTCTGGAAGACATTTCATTAACAGCTTAGCTCACAGATCATGAAAAAAACAGTAGAAAAATGCATTTCACTCTTAACCTCAGCCAAATAACACTGGTGACACTTTCTGTCCTCCTCTGGGTTTGGGAGCATCCAGTTTCACAGCCGGAGGCAGAATGCCAGATCTTAGCTGAGCACAAATAGACCTCTGAGCTCTGACATATTGCTTTCGATGGAAAGTGTCCTTGATAACACAATGACTTCTCAGTCTTTGTTTGCTTAGTAGTTCTTTTGACCAATTTCCTTCATCATTTGCAGATAGCAGAGACTTCAAATAACTAGAAGGCAACTTTTATAAATGCTGCTCAGGATAGTTTGGACGGCTGCGACAGCGGCTTGCAGTGACAATAGGAGGAAATGTTAACCATTAACCTGATCAGCTGGCGGCAAAGCACTACAGCTTCCTCTAACACTGAATGATCAGTCACATCAGTCATGATATACGTCAGAGGGGATGTGCAGGAAAAAATCTATGCTGTCAACACTTTGCTAGAACAGTTAACAATGAAATAGTACAATGATGTTTGTGGAGGAAAATTAGCTTAGGGTGCACAGATATCATCAGCTTCCACGGGAGAAACGTAGCTAGAAGCATCCTGGAGTGACAGTTATGCTTCTGAGGGAAGTTTGTGCTTGTGAATAAAAAAGGTATTACTTATCTGGAAACCTGCCGCCGCATTAGCATGCAACCGTCAATCTGAAATAAAAGTGTAAAATCCACTCATCTATACAACATCAGCATACACACACAACTGTTGACCCCTCTTCCCATAAAATAAATTACCGTCTGACCATGTGTCCGGTAGAGCTGTGAGTGATTACTTTAGTGCTTTGACATTTGCAACAGCAGTAATGAGGCATGTCTGTGACAGCTGTGTCACTACCAGCAGCCTATGTCTCTGCTGTTCAGTTCAACGCTGGGAAGGA